ATACCTGGGTCCCTGCCCTATTTCTCGTGGCTTCCTTAATCCTGCTTACAGGATTTTGTAAATCATCTCTTTATTAAAACACCTTCCAATTACCCATTTCATATATGCCATCTGTTTCTTGCTGGGAGCCTAACTGATACATTGTCACTGAGCTGAAATTTTTAATTTGCACACTGTCAATTTCACTGATTTTGTGTGTGTGTGTGTGTGTGTGTGTTATGGTATGTGCTTTGGGGTTCTTATTTTTGAAGCCCTTCTGTACTCATAGGTAAAAGATTCTCCTTCCTTTTTTCCCATTATTTTTGTAATTTTACCTTTTATATTAAGTCTTGAATCTATCCAGCATCCACCTTTGCATGTGTTGTTGGGTATCAATTTTTTTTCTTAATATGGAGAGCCACTTTTCCCAATAATGTCTTTCCTCCACCAACTTGAGATGCCTCCCTTATTATATATTAAGTTCCCATTTATGCATAGTTCTGTCTCCAAGCCCCCTGTTCCATACCATTGGTCTATTTGTCTGTTCTGTAAAATTACCATACTGTCTTTATGAATATGGCTTTGCAATATATTCTAATGCCTGGTAAATCTGGTTTCCCTTCAATTTTTACTCTTTTTTTTTTCCCAAATTGACTTTTATCATTTTTTTTTTGACTTTTATCATTTTTTAAAGATTGTTGAATTGCTTTTAAAAATCCAGCTGAAACTTGTATTTTTATCACATTGAATTCCTATATGAATTTGGCAAGGATTTTAATTTTGTTCTTGTATATTCTTTATATGTCACTGTGATGATAGGTAACAGATACACCTCCTAAATCCTCTTATTAGGTCTAATTGTTTATTGATATTGATTTTCCATGTGAACGATCATATTGTTTTATCTCTTCCCTTCATGGATATAGTTTTCTCTCTTTCTCTTCTCACCTTCCTCTTGCCCAGAATGTGTCACAGCTGGAGTGGGGCAGTCATCTTGGAACAGGCGATAGAATCCATATGCTGAGAACAGTAGAGCAACAATACAGAAGCAGCCAAGGTCCTAAAAGATTTTATCATAAATAGGTGTGGAGCTTTTGCCAAGTGCTTTTTCTGCATCATGTAATCTTTTCTTTTGTACTCCATTAATGTAGTCTTCTGTACTCTCTGTGTCTATCTTATGAATAGATTTTTCTGTTGTTAAAGCATTTTTGAGTTCTTACTCAAGGCATAGCTGTTACTTGAATATGTTATCTCTCTTAATACACCATTTAATTGGGCTAGTTAATATTTTATATAGGAATCTTACATTTTTTGGTCATTATAGCGAAAATACTCTATTTGAAATTTGTTAAAACTTGCCTTATGGGGGCTTCCCTGGTGGCGCAGTGGTTAAGAATCCGCCTGCCAATGCAGGGGACACGGGTTCGAGCCCTGGTCCAGGAAGATCCCACATGCCGCGGAGCAACTAAGCCCATGCGCCACAACTACCGAGCCTGTGCTCTAGAGCCCGCGAGCCACAACTACTGAGCCTGCGTGCCGCAACTACTGAAGCCCACAAGCCTAGAGCCCACGCTCTGCAACAAGAGAAGCCACCGCAATGAGAAGCCCACGCACCGCAACGAAGAGTAGCCCCCGCTGACCGCAACTAGAGAAAGCCCGCGTGCAGCAACGAAGACCCAACACAGCCAAAAATAAAAATAAATAAAATAAATAAATTTACTTTTTTAAAAAAAACTACCTTATGGCCCAGTATTTGCTCAATTTTTTAAAAAATGTGCCAGTGCACCTGAAAAGAATGAGTATTCTGCAGCTGATGAGCGCACTATACTAAATGTGTCCATCGGATCATCATACTTCAGCCTGGCATTCACAACATCTGTATACTTCGTGATTTTTCAGTCTGCTTGATACATCAATTACCGACAGAGGTGCATTACAATCTCCTACTATGAATATAGATTTGTCTTTTTGTACTTCCAGATTTTTTATTTCATGTATTTTGTGGCCATGTTATCCTGTGCACATATATTTAACACTGGTGTATCTTCCTGTTGAACTAAACCTTTTATCATTAGGAAGCGACCCTCTTTATCTCGAATAATAATTTTTGTTATAAAGTGTACTTTATAAGAAAATTATTTGGGGACTTCTTTGGTGGTCCGGTGGTTAAGACTCCATGCTCCCAATGTAGGGGTCCTGGGTTCGATCCCTGGTCAAGGAACTAGATCCCACATGCATGCCACAACTAAGACCTGGCACAACCAAATAAATTAATTTTTAAAAATAAGATAATTATTTGGTTAGAATTTTCCTAACATATCTTTCTCATACTTTCCCTTTCAACTTCTCTCTTTAGATGTGTCTCTTGGGCATGTGGTTGGACTTTACCTTTTATTCTGTCTGTAAGTTCATGTCTTTTAAAAACATAATTTAGGGAATTCCCTGGCAGTCCAGTGGTTAGGACTTGGTGCTTTCACTGTAGTGACCCGAGGTTCAATCCCTGGTCAGGGAACTAAGATTCCCGCAAGCCGCACAGTGCAGCCAAAATAAATAAATAAAGAGGTAGATAGATAGATGACAGATTATTTAGTCTTTTGTATTTAATGTAATCATCAACATATTTGGATTCATAACTCTTTATTTTGATTTTTCTTATCTACCTGTTCTGTTTTTCTCTCCTTTCCTGCCACTCTTTAGATTGTTTTTTCTTCATTTTTTCCCCTTTATAAATTTGGAAGTTAAAAGCTCTGTTTCTAAGGGATTAACCTAAAAATTACAACAATGGTAGGAGAAACTGTCTGTTCTCTGCTGTTTCAAATCAGAGAGTGTTACATAATTATATCCTCTATATCTGTTCTTCTGTAACCTTTTTCCTTTCTAAAATCATGTACCTGTATTTCCTTTATTCTCCTTCATGTTTGTTTGTTATTTACCTTTTCCAAGAATCAGATTTTGTTTTTACTGATGATATCTACATTTTTATTTTCTAGCGCATTAAGTTTTGCTTTTTTCAAGTGTCTTAAGTTAAAAATAAGCTTATTTCCTTTCAGCCTTTCCTATTTTTTTTAATAAATGTGCTTAAGGCTATGTACTTTTCCTCTGGGGAATTGCTTTATACCATCGCACAATCTCAGTCTGTAGTGTTCTCCTTGTTCACTTCTAAACCACTTGACTGTTTCATTTTTATTTTTTTTTAAACTCAAGTTATCTAGAAAGATGGTGAGTCATGTATATGTTGATAGATCTTTTTTAGCTATACTTTTGTGTTTATTTCTAACTTTATTTTATTGTGGTCAGAGCATTGCTCCTTTTTAGAATTAGTGGAGGTCTTATCTGTGGGTTAATTTGTCCATTTTGGTTGATAAACCCATAAGTGTCCATAAAGTCTTCATCTGTTTGTCCTGTTAACTCCCATCTGGGTTGTGGATTCTATTTGCTGTGGTTTTCTCTTCCATGGTATTGGTTTTCCTCCCATGTTGGTGATTCTGGGTTGTGGGTTCACCTTTGCATTTGTTGTATTTGTTACCTAACTGTGGATGCTGCTTCTGTTCACACTGGGGTGGTTCTATTCCTGGGGGCATTGCTGGAGGCAGGATGATCCCAGTGAAACCAAGCAGGACCCTGCGGGGACCATCTGTTTGTCCTGTTAACTCCCATCTGGGTTGTGGATTCTATTTGCTGTGGTTTTCTCTTCCATGGTATTGGTTTTCCTCCCATGTTGGTGATTCTGGGTTGTGGGTTCACCTTTGCATTTGTTGTATTTGTTACCTAACTGTGGATGCTGCTTCTGTTCACACTGGGGTGGTTCTATTCCTGGGGGCATTGCTGGAGGCAGGATGATCCCAGTGAAACCAAGCAGGACCCTGCGGGGACCTCCCAGGTACAAAAGCCCCTCCATGTCCCCTGTCTCTTGTTTATAAAAAAAATAATAATAAAATGCTGTACTCTCCCAAGCCTCCCCTGAGTCACAAAAAAACAAGCTTAAGAAGTTAATGATTAGGACAATAGAATCACAGAATCTTTAGTTCCTCCCTGAAGGACATAGACAATAGTGTCCGAGGCACACTCCTGAGTTGTTCTGCAGATACTAAAACCACCACCAAATGGAAAAACTTAACTGCACAATGACCAGACTGTAGTCATGACACAAACTGCTCCATCTTGTACAATTCAAGGACTGGTCTCAAGGAAATGGGAACAAACCGACCCTGGAACTGAAGATTAACTATACTTGAAACAATCAAGATGATGCTGCTCAGACCTCCGCATGACCAATTTCAAGGTGATTATCAGAGCTAACTGTGCTGTTCTGCATGTAGCCCCCTGCCCTGCCTACGTACCCATGAAACTCCCCTTTAGAAGCCCGCGCGCCCTGATCAGCAAGGGCAAGTTGGTTCTTTGACACATGAGTCCACCTCCTCCCCAGGACTGCCAGCTTCCTCAGTAAAGCTATCTTTCCTTTTACCCAGCACTTGTCTCTCAGTATTGGATCCTTGAGAGACGAGCAGCCCAAACTGAGTTCAGTAACATCAGTACCAAATGCCGCTTTACAGCTGAGACTCAGGGAGCAGAATAACTTGCCCTAACTCACATACCTGTAAATAACAAATCCAGGCCACCTGGCCCAAAGCCCAGACAGTTCTCAGGATGACCCGCTGCCTGCCCAAGGCTATCTAGTGCCAACCAGCCCAATCCCAATTCCTAATCCCCAACAACAAGACAACTCAGAATATTTCATATATTTCTCTTCTTTTTACTCTAAAAAACAAGTTGACAATAATAACCTGCAAACCACAGAAAGTGGCATGGGTTTCAATCTCTTCGCCCCTCCAAACATCAGTCTACATTCCTCAGACACTACCCTTCCCTCTAAATCTTAGATGAAAATCCAGAAGCCCCCAGATAGGAGGGTCCCCAAACCAGGAGCCCTATGGCAGGTAAAGGCATTGAGGAAATAAATTAGGGGGAGAGGAGGCTGCTAGTTTTCGCTGTCCCTGTCCCGCTGTGTCTCGCAGACCCACCGGTAGGGCCTCTGACAGACGTCATCGTTCCAGCGGCCGTCGTCCGTGAAGTGGGCACAGTCCTCACCTCCTCCGAGCCCGTGCCCATACCAGTCGTCCGGCTGCTCTGGTCTCCAGTTCCTAAAGAGACCAGATGGATGCAGGCCCGAGGGGCCCAGACCCTCAGCCAAGCCGAGCAGCCCCTGGCGCCCTGGGACCTGCCAGGCTGGGGCACAGGCGGAGGGCAGAGCTGTGGGGCGCACACACTCACTTGAAACCCGACTCATAGTCTGTCCCGTCCACCCATTTCCAGGGCCCGTTTTGGTCAGTGAGGCCCATCCAGGTGTTCACAGGGCCCATGTGGTGCTGGATAAATTTCTGGGGAGAGAGGAGGGGCTGGTGATCTCTCCTTAGACCTGCCAGCCTCCCAGCCGTGCCCCGCCTGGCCCTCACCTGCTCCTCCCAGGAGCCCACCACCACCAGGTGGGCGTCCTCCAGCTGGCAGTACTTCTCAGCCTCGGGCCAGGGCTTCCCCGAGCGAGAGAACCAGTAGCATTTGCCTTCAAAGTCCACCCAGTTCACCGGGCAGCAGGTCCTTTCAGAGCCTGGGGGGGTGGGGGGTGGGGGGTGGGGGCGGGGGCAGGCAGAGGGAGGGTGAGGGGCTGAGGGGAAGTGGGCAGGAAAGCGGGGCTGGGCAGCACCCACCCCCTCACCGTTGCCCTGGAGGACGGCCATCTGACAGCTCAGGCTTCGCAGGTCAGACACAAACTGCTTCACGTGGAGCAGCAAGCTGGAGTGATCTGGGGAGACAGAGGGCAGAGGGGGAGGGGAATGAGTGGGGGAGGGGACTGGGAAGGCTCTGTCGTCTGCGTGCTGGGGCGTGAAGATGGATCACAGATGCTCCTGCCGTAAGGCCCCTTGGTTTGGCCTGAGAGACCCCTGTATCCTGCATGCGGAAGCGCGCGCACGCACGCTCCCTTGCTGACCTTCACTCAGGTCCTGCTGCTGTTTCTCCAGTTGGGACTCCAGGGACTTCATCTTTCTGCCCACATTTCCTCCTAGAGGAGAGACTTGCTCAGTGTCCCAATGTCCCTACGTTCCCAGCCCCCCCAGCCCCATCCCTCCTCACCCTGGACGCTCAGGGCCTTGACCTTGGCCTCCGTGCTCACTGTGAGGTTGCTGAACGTTTCTCTCAGGGCCCGCAGCTCCTCCTGCAGCTTGGAGTCTGGGCAGAAGAGGGTGTGGATAGGACAAAATTAGGAGGTTGTGTCAACCATCACAGCAGCCAGCACGTCCCCTACCCACCCACCCTCAACATTGCTCCCTTCCCAGCCCACCCCCAGGGAACCCACTCTGGGATCCGATCACACAGACAACCACCAGCAGCAGGAGGCTAAGGCCGATGGAGATCAGGATGAGGCTGGGTCCGGAGCAGAGACGCCGAAAGAGCGAGTGGGGAGGAGGCGGCCCTGCAAGAGGAGAGGGCATCAGGAGCCTGGGGCAGCTCTGGGGTCCTAGAAGGAGGACAGTCTGAGCCTCCTCTAGCCGACTAGGGAGAACGTTATACATGAAGAAGTTTGGGCGGTGGGCGGCCCGGAGAAGCCAGAGGCAACCGGAGGTGGGGAGGGGCGCGAAGCTTTGACCCTCCGGAGCCCTACCCAGGCCCTGGGCCTTTGCTGACACCTGCTGGCCTGGCTGAGTCACTGCAGCCTCAGAACTCAGCCTGGAGGATGGACGGAGTTTGCGAGCTGGAGGAGACTGGGGGCGGGGGGGGGGGGGGCGCCTTGCAGGTGAGGCAAGAGCAGTGGATTTCTTGGTCACCCCTCGAATCCCACTCCTCTTTGGCTGCACACAGGGAAAGAGGCGGAGTAGCCAGACTTCAGGTCCCTCAAGTTGCTCCCACCCGGGAGCCCTGTCCCAGTGAGCTGGAATATGGGGGCTTCCCCTCCATTTTTGCCGGCAGTCCCTTCCCGCATCGAAGGTCGCTGCCCACTCCCATCCACCAAGAACTTCATCCTGGCTCAGCCGAAGCAACATCCCTGCTCGCAGGAGAAAGAAAGGGGGCTTGCTTTTTTTTTTTTTTTGCGGGACGCGGGCCTCTCACTGTTGTGGCCTCTCCCGTTGCGGAGCACAGGCTCCGGACGCGCAGGCTCAGCGGCTATGGCTCACGGGCCTAGCCGCTCCGCGCCACGTGGGATCTTCCCGGACCGGGGTACGAACCCGCGTCCCCTGCATCGGCAGGCGGACTCTCAACCACTGCGCCACCAGGGAAGCCCGGGGCTTGCTTTTTGATGTAAGAGAGCCTCATCCTCCCCCAATCAGAGATCCCTCAGAGCCGTCCCAGAAATCTTCCCCTTGACCAAACTGATCCCTGACACCCATGCACTCACACACACTCACACACACTCACACAGTTGGCCAAGGCTCACAGGGTGTTGAAAGAGGAAAGAAGAAGGAGGCCTAACTTCTTCCAGTTAGTCCCACGGCCCTGGGCGCCCTCCTCCCCAGGGTCCTGAGAAGTCGGTGACAAGGTGAGGGACAGGAGGGTCATGCAGAAGCCTGGGGGCAGCCGTCACCAAGAAAGGAAATCCAGCCCTACACCCTGCACCTCCCCTAAGAGGGGCGGCTCAGACGCTGTGTCCCTGTGAGTGGGGCAGACCCAGGGAGAGTCGGGGTTACAGAAAGAAGCAGGAGCTGAGTGGAGAGAGCGAGAGCCACCTAATGCTCGCCTTTCAGAAATGGGGGGAGGCCTCCCCTCACTTTTTCTGTGCTGATGGTCATTCTCCTCGTTGTCCAGATGCTGAAGATCTTGATACTCCTTTGTCATGGTAGGGCTGGCTGGACCTGGGACCAGGTCAGGGCTGGAGTTAGGGCTGAGGCTACGGCTGAACAGAGTTGGGGTGTGTGGTCCAGTCCCTTTCTAGGTGATCAGCAGGAGACCTTTCTTCTTGCTCCCATTCCCTCCCAGGCCTGACATCCAAACTCTGTCTTCTACAGTTTTCCCACTCCATCCCCAGCCCTCCTGACATGGGTCCCCTCCATCCCCTCCCCCACCCCACCCCCCAGTTAGTCACCCCCCCACAGCCGTTCTTCCCCTTTTACTTGCTGAAGGTCTCAAGGTTGACTCCTGGGTCCCTCGATGCTGCACAGATCCCAGGCTAAGAAACGGGCTGAAGCCTGGAGGATTAGGGTGTGCGGACAGCCCTGGGTGGTGAGAGAGGAGGGGGCAGGGTCCATATGAGGGCCCTGAGCCCTGTGCGTCTGCCTGTCTGTGCGTCTGCGTGTCTATGTGTCCAAACACACCAAACCTGGCATCTCCAGTGCCCGGGACTTTGGACGTAAACAGAGGTAGAACTGGATTTGTAACTCTGGGGGTGTGGGGCTGGGAGCAGGGGATGGGTTGCCTCTTCTTTTCTTCCCGGGGGTGGGGAGTCTCCCCGGTCTGTCCCCATTCCTTGTATGCAGTCACCTCACTCATGGCACCGTTTGGGAGGGGGCCAGGCCAGGAGGGGCCAGGGTGCAGTTTGCCGTTTCCCCTCTGCCCCTCCCCCCTTTCACTTCCTGCCTCTGAATTTCCCAGAATTGGTGGTGTCTCCAAATATCCCTGACCGGGATCAGAGGGGCCGATCTCTGCTCTTGCCCAATCCAGGCCTGTGACCCTGGCATCTGAGCCTGGGCCCGGCTTCACTGGGGCTCAGCCGCCAGACTCCCCAGCCTGCGGCTGAATGGCTTTGCTCTCCGGGGGGAGTAAAGTCCTCCCAGCTGCGTAGGGGGCGGTGCGGGGAGAGGCAGGAGGACAGGCTTTTCCCACTCAGCCGGGATTGGTGCCAACAAACGTCCAGTGATTCCTGTGTGCTTTTCCTTCATTACTTCCTCTCATTAGCCCCTCGAGCACATCCCTATTCGATTCGCAGATGAGAAAACCGAGACCCTGAATGGTAAGACCTTACCCAGGCTCACACTGCAAGGAGGGCTGGGATGTGGGCAGCCAGACTCCAGGACCTGTGTGCTGCCCCCAGAACCAGGGTCCCGTCCCGTCACCATAGCTGGGCCCCGGGGTCCCAGAAATGCTAAAAGTGGTCCCTCACAGCCCCAGGGAGAGTTCAGGGAGTGTTATGTTCAGAGGAGTGTCTGGATTGGAATTATGCTAAATTAGAAATTGGGCAATGTTAAAGACGTTAATAAGTCTCACTTTAGGACCAAGTGTGAAGTCATGGGAATCCTAGGTTACGGTTATTTCAGTGAGAAAACTAGACCTGAGTTAGGAGAGTTTACATTACATGAGATATTCAGGAACACGTCCCTTGCATAAAATAAGAAGCCCTGGCTACATCTCCTTTGTCCGTGTCTTGAAAAGCCCCACATTGTTTGCATGCACTGGGACTGTGGTCAGTAATTTTGGTGACTGTTGGGCTGTTAATTTGGCCTTCTCTGATATTATCGCTTACGATCCGGTTTATTCAGGCAAACAAACCTACGATGTTTCGGTCAGAATAATGGTCACCCTTACAGGAGTGGTGATTGGAAGGGAGCTTCTGGGCGATGGAAATGTTCTACTTCTTGAACTGGATGCCAGTTGCAAGGCTGTGTTCAGTTTGTAAAACTGCTGAAAGCTGTACACTTGATCTGTGCATTCTTCTGTTTGCATCTTATACAGGAATAAGATGTTCCTGCAAGCTGGTTCTACCCTATAACCATATTCCCAAACCCATTGCTTAGGGAGCAGTACTTGGACCAGTGCCGAAAAATACGCCAAAGCCAACAGGTTTAGGGTGAGAGTCAGAGGTGATAAAACACTGTGAAGAAAGCCAGACAAACAACACGATACACCCGGTGGCTGACTTACAAGCCACCTGTACGATACCAGAGATAATTCTGAGAAACTAAAAAGTAGCTAAAAACAAAACAACAACACATGGCGGTAGATATATGCACCCTGAGAACTCTTTACATTTATCGCTTTAAGAATATATACCTTGGGATTTCCCTGGCGGTCCAGTGGTTAGGACTCCGCACTTCCACAGCAGGGGTCCTGGGTTCGATCCCTGGTCAGGGAACCCACAAGCTGCGCAGCAAGGCCAAAAAACAAAAAAGAATGTATACCTTGAATTATGCAAGGTCTTCAGGGACACAGCCTCACGTATTCATTTTCTATTGCAGAGTAACAATGTACCCCAAACCTAGTGGCTTGAAATGACACCCATTTATTAGCTAATAGCTCCGTAGGGCAGAAGTCCAAGCTGGCTTCTCTGCTCAGGGTCTGACAAAGCTGAGATTAAGGTGCTGGCAGGACTGTATTCATTTTTGGAGGCAAAGGAGAAGAATCTGCTCCCAAGCTCCTTCAGGTTGCTGACAGAATCCAGTTCCTTGCAGCCGTAGGATTGAGGTCCCCATCTCCTTGCTAGCTGCCGTCTGGGGGCCACCCTCTGTTCCTCGAGGCCACCTGCCTTCCTCATCGCATGGCCCCTCCATCTGCAAAGTCAGCAACAGTGCCTGGAATCTTCCTCAAGGTGCAGATCTCTCTGACTCCCCCTGTGCTTTCAAAGGGGCTCCTGGGATTAGATTAGGCCCACCTGGAGAATCTTCCTGTCCTAAGGTCAGCTGTGTACATGACATACACAACAACTTAAGAACAGGAGTCAGAAGTGATGAGACACTATGAAGAAAGCCAGACAAACACCACGATACACCGGGTGCTGATTTACAAGCCAGCCCCCTGTACAATGTGTACGGCCATAGGTAAGGGTCACTCCCTATAACATAACAATTGTGAGAGAGATATCTCAGCATGTCCTCAGGTGCTGGGGAGGACAGTATGGAATCTTGGGGGCCACTTTTAGAACTCTGCCTCTTCATGCAAAGCGACGCTGTCCCCTCTGAGTACACTTCACCTTGGGATATGGAGCACGTGCAGAGAGCAATTCAGAGAGGCCGGGCTCCAAACCTGGGAATCCCACCACCAGGCTCCCTAGGGGAGGTCTGTGACGCTGGCCTGAAAGAACAGGAAGGATTTTTATCAGCTGTAATAAGCAAGTGACCCTGGAAAGAGTGGGAGAAATGTCCAGAGTTGTAGCTTGGGCCACCCTGAGGAGGGCCTTCAGTCTCAGGGTGAGGCATCTTGAATGTCATTCAGAAGCACAGAGGTCTCCAAACTGGGGGGACATGTGCCCCAGGGGTATCACAAGATCATCCATTAAGAAGGTGGCAAGGGGCGGACTCGAGGGCTCACGCCAAGGAATGCTTCCCAGAACTTCTGCTGCCAGTGTCCTTGTCCCCACGGTGAGCCACGGCCATCCCCCCTCTGCAGGAAACCCTCCAACACTAGCAGGTCTCAAGATTCTGCCCTCCAAGAAAATCTTGCCATGATTGGATAGGACCCCCCAGATAAATATTCCAGCCTTCAACCTGTTCACTTTTACATCCCTGAAAATGAATCACCATTGGAACAAAAGTTAAGAGAATTAAGACAAGAAACACAAGAAAGGAACCAACAGTTCTGGGCAAACCAGAATTTGACTTTTCTAAAGGCTTTGAGATGGGCCACTTCTCAGGAAATCCACATCCAGACTTCTCCAGAGCACTGAGAGCTGTGTCCTAGCCAAGGAAAAACAAAAAGACGAAGAAAGGGAGTTCTGATAGCTGTCTTCTTTTAGGAAAAAGAAGAATTTATTGACTCAAGACTAAAAGCCAAAGGCCTGGAACTGAGAGCTGAATCAGGTCAGAAAGCAACATTGAATGCAGAAGAAATGTGTGACTTTTTTTTTTTTTTTTTTTTTTTTTTTTTTTTTGTGGTACGCGGGCCTCTCACTGCTGTGGCCTCTCCCGTTGCGGAGCACAGGCTCCGGACGCGCGGGCTCAGCGGCCATGGCTCACGGGCCCAGCCGCTCCGCGGTATGTGGGATCCTCCTGGACCGGGACACGAACCCGTGTCCCCTGCACCGGCAGGCGGACTCCCAACCACTGCGCCACCAGGGAAGCCCGAAATGGCTGACTTTTACAAGGAATTTTTAAGTAAACATTTTCGGAAGCACATGTATTGTAACAGGGACTGGTACAAGCGTAATTTTGCCATCACCTTCTTCATGGGAAAAGTGGCCCTGGAGAGGATTTGGA